AAACGCAACATCTCTTCTCCAAATATCCATCCTTCCCTGCTGGGCAACAGCCTCGGCTCCTTGTGTCCTTCTCCTCCCCTCCCTGGCTTCCTCTCCAGCTGCTTTAGAGATACCCGGGCAGCACTGCGGGGCTGCATCCTGCGCACACCAACCCCACAACCGTGACTCAAAGCGATACCGGGCCGGGGAGTCGTGGCATCCGACCCACAGCCACTTGGACGAGCTCGGGGCGGGAAGAAAAGATGGAGAGCGGAGGATGAAGATGGGGAGCGGCTGACACGTCCCCACATCCTTTCGTTTTTCTTGATCCGATGGGTTTTCTCGTCAGGTCCTTTGCTCTTTCGCCTCCACACCTTCAGCACTAACGCAACGTCCGAGTGGGAAACGCACGGTTGGCACCACCCCTGCGCAAGCCCTTGCCACCGCTCTCCTGGCGAGGTGCTATCTGGTCTCCAGGGACTCCAGGTATTCCAGTGCTATGTCGTAGCAGAAATGATACTGCTCCTGTTTGGAGAGAGAGAAGAGGGTGTTATGATCCCAAGTAAACTATTTCCCAAAGCTACCCCTTTTTAAGGTAAAATAAGTTTCAATAGCCCTAAGGAAAAGCCTGTGAGGGGCTCTATGAGACGAACCCCTCACTGGGGGCTGCGTCCCTCGCCTGTCCCCCCCGACGGTCCTGCTGCAGCAACAGCCGGGAGAAACTCCATTTTTTGCAAACACCACCCATTGCTGGGGCAGGGGATGAGCTGCCACCCGGATCCAAACACACCTCGTGCCAAATTCCCTGCATTTTGGGGGCACGTGGCACCTTTGCCTCCACCGAAGAACGGACAAGGACTGCGACGTGCCCTTACTGCAAAAATATGGTTTATTCACTACACCAGGGTGCAAACCAGGTAGCACCAGTGCGGGGCTCCACCAACCAGCCTCACCCACGGAACCCCCACCACCATCACAGCGATTGACATCTGTCAATCAGATAGTGGCAGAGCCATGGGAATGGTGGGGTCTGGGGTCAGAGATACCCAAAAATAAAACCATGGGCATGAAATTGAGGAGTGGTTTTGAGTTCAGCAGAGGCTGCAAATGGGGAACGTGCCCAGGCAAGTGCCGTGGCCTCGCTGCATCCGTTATCTGGAGACGCCCTGCCCCGGCTGCCAGGACGTTTCTCATCACAAATTCTCCTGCTGCAGATTGAAAAAAAAAAAAAAAAAAGAAAGCTATTTTCCATCCTTGGCCGGGATTTGGTCTGGGTGTTTGCTTCACGTGGGGGTAGAGGCACGAAGGGAAGTCCCAGGAGCTTTCATTTCCAAAAATCAAAATTTTCCAAGGGAAATGCCAAACAAATGAGCATTTTGGTGCTCAGGTCAAAGTCTGAGCTGCCTGCCATGGCTGGGCTGAGCCAAGGGGTGCCAGTGGGAAAGCTCCTCTCCAAGCCCACAGCAAGACTGGGCTCGCTCTCCCATCCCTTCCCTTTCCTGAGAGCGCTACAGACAGCGTCGGCATCTTCCCATCCTCTGCTCGCCCCTTGGCTGTGCAAAGGGAAAGCCCAGCATGGCTGGCTCCTGGTTTTATAGCAAAAATCACTGAAACTGGGCTTGCAAAGGCAGTCACGTCCATCCTTGTCGTCCTTTACATGATCTGTTCTTGTGCTCTCCCGTCCTCGTACAACTCAGCACAGAAAACTACCGGGGAGCTCGGACCTTGGAAGCACCCATCCCCATGAGATGCTCCTCCTTCAAGCATCCAACAAGCAAACCCAGCCAGAGGGGGGGGTGGAAAACCCAAAAATCAGGATTCTGATGCTGCTGTGAGCACTGGGACATTGTGGGAACATTCCAAGTGTGACAGCAGGGAGGGAAAGGGGACAGCTCATCTCCCAAAATCCTCATTGGAAGCTTTGAGCACCGGCACGAAAATCCTGTTATTCCCCACGCGGGTGGGCGTCTGCTCGGGGCCCCCAGGTGGGAACAAGCAGCAGGGGAGAAGGGCTTCAAAGCGAGGAGGCTGCGACAGCTTAGATTAAAAGCACATAATGCTTTTTGGATTAAGAAAAGGGATTGTTTCCATTTATCATCATATAAAAATAAACCCCACAGGCAAACAAGAGGGGGAAAACGCACGGGCAGCGGGGAAGTGCTACGCGCCGGCTGCTCTCTGCTGGGCTGCGGCTCTTTACACTGGGCGAGGACCTGGCCTCCCAGTGACTCCGGTAAATTGGGATTCCCAGAATAGACGGTTCAGGTTCATTTGAGGCTGGAGGACGCTCGTGTCCTGATGTGAAATGTTGCCTTTTTTTAATACCTTTGCAATTTAGCCCAATGGGTCTGGTGGCTTCATGCTTGTCACATCATCTTTTCATTATCTGCATCCCTCCCTCTGCTCCCCGTCCCCTCCCTCACCTTCTCCTCCACTTCAATTCCTAATGCAAATCACATCCCCTCCTCAAAACCATTTCATTTTGCAACTTAGAGATTTTTATAATCTAACCAGGGTAAACATTTCCAGCTGACTTGCTTTTAAAACATCACCAGGCACCTGGATTCCTCCACCACGGGGCCAGACACGCGCCTGCTCCATCCCCTGTCCTGTTATCCAGGGCCTGAAATAGGGCACAGGCTTTTCACCCAGACCCACTGCCACCTCCACCCTCCCCGTCATGAAATGCAGCTCCATCGCTACCCCCAGCAGCTTATCCACCGATTCATTTAACTCGAAACGCAGTTCCCTTTGATATTTCCAAGAGGAACTTGTCTGACTCCACGTCAGAGTTGCTCCCGGCGCTGCAAACCCTCCGAAGAACTGCAATTACATCCCGTGAATTAATGTGAACCTGCCTTGCTACTCCTGGGAAGGATTTCCGACAAGCCCGGTGCTGATGCCAAGGACATGTCGGCACAGCAAGATGAAGGCAAGCCCGAGGCTCCTTTCAAGAGCTGCCTCGCCTCCCTGTCCGCCCCAGCCTGTGGCACAGCGCCGGCACGCTCACCGAGACATGCTCTGCATGAGGGTGCCCATAATACTAACCAGGATTTGGGACGGGAAAGGAATTTTTGGGGTGAGGTTAGCATCCCCCAGCACCTCTCCTTCCTGCTGGAGGGATGCACGGGGACTGGCAGCCGGGTGGACACCAGCAGTGTCTGGTGCTTACCAAGGTCTCTACCATGTTTGGCTTGTAGTTGCGGAGGGTCTTTGCAGCATAGAAAATGTCTGCCATGTTGTGACACTTGATCATCTCCAGGATCATGGTGGAGGCACAGAAGGTGCCGCTCCGGCCACCTCCGTTCCTGGTGGGAGAAACACACGTGTTGGTGAGGAAAAGATGGCATTAAAGCATCTTCCTGCTCCCTCTAAATCCCCCTTTCTCTATCCATCCCAGGAGATGTCCCAGAGCAGGGGCACATACCCCAGAGTCCTCCCAAACCAGGGGACCTGAACCAGACCTGCTTGGTGGCAGGAGCTGTGATCCTGCCCTCCAGTCCTCACAAGAGCCACAACAGAGCATGAAAACACCTTTTGGGACCATCAGGGCTGGATCTTGGACGTCTGGGCTCAGTTTCCAGCCCTGCCATGGACCGATTCCTTGTGTGACCTTGGGAAAGCCACTGTGTCCCTCTACCACCCTCTTCCCATCTGCAGGGTGACCCTGGGCTGATGACCTGTTGGGTAGTGCTGCCTGGAGGAACCGTCCGTTTCACCCAGCACACAGCTCGCTGGGTACCTCCCCCCATCCTGGGTTGAAACCCTCCCACACCACCACATCTGATCCCTGGCAGCAAAGGGGACCGCAGAGATGAAGAGAACACACTGTCAGTGTTACATAAAGCATGCTCTCAAATTATCCTTCGGCTAATGAAGACGGACGAGGCCGTAATTAATTTTTGATTAAAGGCTCGCCTGCTGGCTCTACCAATCTGCGAATGTGCTAGGTCCCATCTAAGGAGAGCACACAGGGGTGTTTGTGTGAGCCAAACCCAGCTGGGAGGAGGGGGATGGAGAGCATCTCCACCTCGATGAGAAGCAGGCAGCAGGAGAAGCACAGCTCCTGTTGCGACTCTCTGGAGCCTGTTACGTGCATGGGACGTGGTGACAGGGCTGGGACCTCTGCCGAGCCCCGCCACAAGGCAGGGGACCGGCATGAACAGCAGGGTTGCTGCTACCAGGTGTCACTCCTGCTGATTGCCCATCTCATGGAGGAGGTTTGACATGGCAACCACAAAGCGCTTCACCCAAAACTCATGGGGGGGGGAGCGATAGCACCAGCTGGGGACAAAGTCACCCGGGTGAGGGCTTTTTAGAGGATTTCCAGGCAGAACTGTGGACACATGAGCTGGTGGCATTTTCCCCCACACGAGAGCCTGCTCCTCTCCAGCTGACACTCACAGGCAGTGCACCACGGTCCTGCCATCGCCGCTCTCCTTCTGCCACCTCTCCACTTGGGCCAGGAGGTGCAGGAAGGACTTCTTGGAGTCCGGGGTGTCTCGGTACGCCGACCACCGCAGGTACTGGAAATGCCGGACCATCAGGTGCCCCTCCTGCAACTAGAAAAGCAAACCTCACCAGCTTGAACTCGTAGGGTTTGCCTCTGATGGAGATTTGACGGAGGGCAAGAGAGGTTTGCCATATATTAATAGTAGCAGAAAAGAGGAACACCCTTTCCTGGTGCTTTAAGATGGGTGGTTCAGCGCTCTCCCCCGCAGCTCACGCTGATCCCACCACCCCATTCCACCTGGAGGAAGCTCCACTGACATGGTTTATCCATGCCAGTGCATGCATCTCGGACTGCTTGGATATCTCACGAAACCTATTACCAGACGCCTGAGCCTTCCCAAGGCTTCTCCATCACATTCTTGTCTTCCATGCAGAAGATACCAGGGGATGTGCTTTGCTGTGTTCGCTGTAAACCAGGAGGCTGATGAGAAGCTGCCACCCACAGAAGCGAGGAGCAGTGGAAACATGCCTTAAGACCCTGGTAATCTGGTTAGTTTTGAAACCTAATCTGGTTAGCAGGCTCCAGGAGGAAGATTACATCCACAAAGCAACACAAGGCCAGGCTTTAGCCAGGCAGATGTGGGGCTCTTGCTCAGAAGTACTTGGGGCATCAAGAGTACCTGATGGGATGAAACCATGGGCTACACACTCCAGCTGTATCTCGGTGGCACGCGTGGGGAGCACGCAGCAGAGGAGGAAGGGGGATCAGATGCAGATGGGGTTCCCCAGCTCTGGAGGGATCCATCCACCTGATTTCAGATGCCTGATGCGCAGAGTGAGCACCAGACCTCTCCAACCAGTGGGACCAGGTATTCCTGCAGCTCTGCAGGGATGCCCCAGCCTGTGGGGTGGGTGTTGGGGGCACTTGGTACCCACTCCAACCAGCACATCCCAAATGCACGAGGGCTTTTCTGAACCTTTTTGGGAGCTCCAATGGGGGTCAGCAATGTGGCTGGGATGGGCTGAACTCCCTGGGATCGAGCTTTTGCTTCCAGCTGGAAGCCAGGAAGACAGAGGGGGAAGATGAAACAAATGAGTGGAATTATAACAGGAGAAAACTCCTCTGACAGCCCAGGAAGGAAAGCTTGGGGATCCGTTTTGAAGCTCAGGTGAAAGCTCTGTCTGGCTCTGGAGGACTCGTGACACCCTACAACGCCCGGTTCCCCTCCAGCCGGCAAGGCTTGGCCAGAAGTGGCTCCAGGCATTTACTAGCACTCCTCCAGCGATCTGCTCCCTGGAGAAATTTCTTCTTAGATCCAGAGTTTTCAATCACGCTGCACTTTAATTTCGCATGGGGTATATTCTACCACCTGAGAGCAAAGCACATTTAGTGAAGGATTTTGTGCTGACACCCAGGAAATTCCAGATGCTCCCACGGGGAGCATGAACCAAAACCCTCTTTGTGTTAAAAGTCCAGATAATCAGGATTTATCTCCTCTGACCCAGCCCTCCCACCAAAGCACCCTTCCCAGCTGGGCCATCAGCCAAGCCACACGCTCCTTTCCAAGCTCCCTAATTCCCACCTGCCCGATGACCTCCACTGGGGCATTGGCCTCAGCCTCCTGGCAGCCCTCAGGAGATTTAAAGACCTCATGGATGCCACCTCTTCACGGCTGACTTTTGTAGTTAAATCGGCTTTTTTTCCCACGTACAGCTCTGCGCCCATGGGGGTTGTTCATTGCAGTCCCTGTCCCTTCCCAATTTCATTGCATATCTCTTCATTTCAAGGCAAGCTGAACCAGCCAAGTGCCAATGCAACAAGGAGAAGGGGTGAAAACCTGTGCAGATCTTCTCACCCTGCAGGACAAGGGCTCTGCTGGTCCCAAGAGAGCTGTCGTGCCCAGGCAGGGAGTCTCCATCCTGTGATATATGCATGGCAGGGCAGAGGTGGACCTCCAGGCAGGATGAGAAAGGTCTTCCTACAGAGTTACCTAAAATCTTTGCAAGGAGCTGTGAACTCCAGAAAGGTTGGATGGAGCCAACGACACTTGGACAGGCTCCTCTCTGCCAGGATGGGAGCTGGGCCTGCATCCTCTGGAGGAGCTGGATTAGACTGAAGAAGACACCAACTCCTACAGCACCATTCAGTTGGGTTATATGGAGAATTACCTGGACAGGCAATGCCAAGCTCTAGGACTACATGGCCTCCCTAGACACATCATCCTTCTGCTCGCTGAAGGAGGTCTTCATATAAAGAAGCTCTTAGGGATGCCCCAGCCCTTCCCCAAAGCAGCAGCTAACAAAAGCGATCCACCCCCTGCACACCAGCTCACCCAAGCTGGACCTCTGCACTGGGAGATGCCTGGGGGACACCTGGGCACACACACAGACACACGCAAGGCCCCCCCCCCCAGCACCCTCCCGCCGGCATGGCGCCAGAGCAG